GACTGAAAAATTCATATGAATGTTTTAAAAGCCCAGAGCTGGATTGCTGAATTGTGAGTTATTTTAGGATAATGCTTTATCAGTCTCTGTTTTGGAAAAAGTGGTTGTGCCTTTTGCATTCCCAGGAGGACCCAGCAAGACTGGTCATGTTTCACCCTTCCTGTCCGCAGGGATGTGGGTCCTGGGCTCACACAGCCTCAGTTTGAATGAATCCTACTTCTACTGTGTACTTCTGTGTGAGCTGTATATGTTCCCTGTGCCTCAACTTCCTCCTCTCAAAATGTGACCTGGAAACAGACCCTAGTTAGCTGAATCTAGAAGCTCCAGCATTATGCTTAGGCCAGTACCCCACCACCCCAATACAAAAGGGAGTGACTGCAGTATAATTTTTCAATTTACTGTGTTAGGTGCCTCCCTCCCTCCCCTCCTCCTGTGTGTGTGTGTGTGTGTGTGTGTGTGTGATGTGATGGTGTTGTCTGAGACAGAGTCTCTCTGTATACTATATAGCTCTGGCTGTCCTGGAGCTCACTACATAGACCAGGCTGGCCTTGAATTTACAGAAATATGCTGGCCTCTGCCTTCTCAGTGCTGGGATTAAAGGCATGTGCACCCTGCCTGGCTGGGTGCTTTTCTCCACTCAGTTTTCTCAACGATCCTATGAATACATGCTACTTTCACCCCATTTTGTGCGTGAGGACGGGTGCAGAAGAGCTGATTCAATAAACACATTAAATGTCATTGTGTCTACACTGAACCATGTGTATACCTGATTGGAGAATATTATATTTTAACTTTGTAGTTAGCATACGAATAGTAGGTCTCATTATGACATTTTATATATACAAACTATATATATATATATATATATATATATATATATATACACAAACTATATGTAAAATCTTATTTTTTTTACACTTTTTTTATTATTATTATTTTGCAATACAATTCAGTTCTACATATCAGCCACGGATTCCCTTGTTCTCCCCCCTCCTGCTCCCCTCACCTTTCCCCCAGCCCGCCCCCCATTCCCATCTCCTCCAGGGCAAAACCTTCCCCACAGACTGAGATCAACCTGGTAGACTCAGTCCAGGTAGGTCCAGTCCCCTCCTCCCAGGCCGAGCCAAGCGATCTTGCATAGGCCCCAGGTTTCAAAGAGCCAACTCATGCAATGAGCACAGGACCCGGTCCCACTGCCTGGATGCCTCCCAAACAGATCAGGCCAATCAACTGTCTCACCCACTCAGAGGGCCTGATCCAGTTGGTGACCCCTCAGCCATTGGTTCATAGTTCACAAACGAATGGAAACACATGTAAAATCTTATTTACCCCCAGTTATCTGTCCTTGTCCCTCCTGCAGTCTTTCTTACACTCCCTTTCCTCCGTAGTTCCCCTTCTGCTTTCAACACACACACACACACACACACACACACACACACACACACTGTTCAATCTAGCTTCTGCATAGGAGAGAAAATGCAATATTTTATTTCTCCCATTAGACTGTAGACAACTGTATGTTGCTTCATAGACACCCCGCTTCACCCCGTGAGTACATGGGGCTCTCAAATATGACTTGCTGTCTTTTTTCCTTTGTTTAATTTTTTCACATCAGGTCTCATATGTAGCAGAGGCTAGGTTTGTATTTGCTGTAACCCTCCTGCTTCAGCTGCCTGAGTGCTGGGATTGTGGACCACAATGACCAGATTTGTTTTCTCTGAGACGGGATCTTGCCAGGGTGGCTTCAGACTCACAATTCTCCTGCCATAATGCTCCTCCCCTGCCCCTTCTCAGTGCTGTGCACCATGGCTTTCTTGCTGCCTTTTTTGTTTGTTTTTTTTTGCCTTGATAGACCCATGCATTCAGCAGACACATGATATTGAGTAAATTGGGAGTAGCTTGATGGGAAGTCAGTTTGGACTATAAATATGAAAAATATGATTTCTTTTCTTTTTTTCTTTTTCTTTTTCTTTTCTTTTCTTTTTTTTTTGAGACAGAGTTTCTCTGTGTAGTCCTGGCTGTCCTGGAACTCAGTCTGTGGACTGGCCTCAAACTCATAGAGATTCTCCTGTCTCTGCAGCCCGAGTGCTGGGATTAAAGGTGTGCATCATTACTGCAAGGCTGATTTGTTATTTATTTACTTTAAGTATTGGCTTCCATCTAGATCCTATGGCCCTTTCCAAGTCTTCTTGTTTCCCCAGATGACTTTCAGGAAAGATCTGGCAACTTTTTAGCTCCTGAGACATAAATTTGGTTTAAGCTTAAAAAGCGATGCATTCTGATGAAATGGGTGATAGCATTAATTTAAACAATACGCTGAGACTAGCACCGTGGGGAGTCATGGGCTGGCTGTCTTTTCTCAGGCCCATAAGACCAAGCAGAGAACATAAATGGGACCTTGTGAATAATAACAGGTGCTTCTATGAGACTTACTTCAAGTTGGATAACCACACGAATGCATCTCATCACACCAACTCAGGTCGCAACCCTGTTGTCATTCATACCCATTCTGCAGATGACACCTGAGGCACATTGAGGTCCTGTGCACTGTTCACTGCAACCAGAGGGATGGCCTGGCTCTATAGTCTGTGTTTTTGACGCTCTGTTGCTTCTTAGAAGGAAGCAGGGGCTGTGTAGAATAACTCTGAAGTGGAGAAAAGGCTGGCTAGTAAATTCTAATGGAAACAATCAAAGCTCAGTTTGGGAAGTGCAGGAAGGGTGAGCCACACACACTTTCATGTGGGCGGAGAATGGCTCCGCTGTCACACTCGATGGCAGCGGCCAAGTATGATTTCTCAGGATGTGGTAGTTGGCTGACTGCCTCTTGTAGCCACTAGGTTCCGCTCCCCCTTTGCCTTTCTTCTCCTGTCCCCTGAGAGGCCTCCTTCAGACTTTCTTCACCCTCCTCTTTCTAGGAGGCTGTCTGAATCAGGCGCTGAGAGAGACCAGCCGTGGACTGCCTCTACCTGCACATCTGCACATGTAGAAATAGATACATACATACATGATCTTTAAAGATGACTTCTTTAGTGCATGTTCTGCACACATGTGCATGGATAATTTGCAGGCGTTGGTTTTCCCCTTTCCACTTCCCCCTCCCACCATGTGAATCCCAGGATCGAACTCAGGTTGTCGGGCTTGGTGGCAGGTACTGAACCACCTTACTGACTGCTCTCTTTATATTTATCTATATCTCTATTTTAAAACTGTTGTTGTTGTTGTTGTTGTTATCATTTGGTTTTTTGAGGCAGGGTTTCTCTGTGTAGCTTTAGAGCCTGTCCTGGATCTCACTCTGTAGACCAGACTGGCCTTGAACTCACAGAGATCAGCCTGGCTCTGCCAGTGCTAGGATTAAAATCGTGCGCCACCACTGCCCGGCCAGTTCTTACACTCTTGTTGCTCAATGAACAAAAATGATGGCTAACATCTCTTGCATTCCTGTTATGGTCAGGCTCCAGGAACATTTATTCTGACTTCAGTAAACTTTACTGTGTCTTGAATGTGAACTGACCTCTGGAGGTCCATGTGTTTGAACTCTTGGGTTCGAAGCTGGTTGGTGGCGTTTTGTATGGCTCTGAAAACTTTAGCAGGTGGTGGACCCTTGCTAGAGGAAGTGGATCACTAGGGATGGCCTTAAAGCCTGGCCCTGCTTCCTACCTGCTGTCTCCCAGCTGCTTATGCTTATATCTGCATGCCTCTCCTGGTGTGATGGACTGTATTCCTTCTTCAAGTGTAAGTTGAAATAAATCCCTCTTGCCTTAAGTGGCTCTGCTCAGACCTTTGCTCACAACAACAAGGAAAAGGATTGGGTCTATTTCTCAACTGCAAGAAATAGGAACCATGAATGAAGGTTCCTGGGAAGAAGCATTGGCTACAAAGGCAATCAGAACTTCACTGATGTGGAGAGGTTAGAATGTTGCAAGTGCCCAGCCATTTTAAAAGCTATCTTTAGTTTCTTTAATAATCACTTACTGCCCACCTCGGCAGTATGTGACCTAACATCCTTGTGTTAGATAAATCCTTTGGAATGTAGGAAGAGAATCTTCCAGCGTCTACCAATCCAAAAACTAAGAATGCCCACAGACAGCGTCTGAAGCCAGGAATAGGGATTTCCCCTCTTTGCTGTGACCCACCTACCTGATTACAAGGTATTTGAAAAATGAGTCGACACATGATTTTGTTCTGTCAGCACGAAAACTTCATGAAACTGCGGCCTTGTTGGAACATGGAATTTGGAGTAAACTAAATCTGTGTACCTGGGCCATGGTCACCATATTTGGTCCAGAATAAACTCTCGCCTCCCCTTTGAGGTGAGAACTGTGTTTCTTGCATTGACATCTTAATTATCAACATCTTAGAGACTGCAACAGAGGAAGTTGTGTAAAGGTGTGACAAGCCACATTGCAGGGAAGAACTGGGTCTGTGATTCTAACCTCTTGCTTTCTGGAACATTTTAATCCCTATTCTTCTGAGGGGGGATAACAGCTCAGCATCACATCCCCAGAGAAGCCTCTGCTCAGCCTGCCTCAAACAATGCTATACTGTTCCATTCAGAACACTCATCGCAAGCTACTTCTATTCACTTGCTGTATTTTCTTGGGGGTGGTATCTTTTGGTTAGAATCCGACGTCCATCAAGGCAGAGACCATTTCTATCTCGCTCATCATCCTGTTCTCAGTGTTTTGCACAGGTCTAGCAAACTGTAACTGTTCTGTGTTTGTTGGTGAATAAATGATAATGACTTCAGAATTCATTTTCTCCCAATCATTTTACAATACAATCAATACATGGAAATAGCCCACTTAAACATAACAATGTAGTTTGGACTCTGGCTGGTATTCAACCACAAGCTTATTTTTCTATGCATTCTCAGGAAATTTTATCATCATGGTAACAAATTTCTGGGAGTAGGAATATAAGTCTCAAAGATGAAAGATAAATATATCCAGAAAATAATAAGTCAAGTTGAAATGAACACACACCAAAAATACCTCAGGGTGTATTGTTGGAAAAACATTTATTGCAATTCAGTGTCAAAAAATGTTTACAAAAATATGCCACTGTCTGGTACAAACAACTATAAAAAAGTCAGTTCATCATGCAAGAAAGGTGTGCAAATAAGTTATATAGGACTCAGATTATTCAATATTAAACAATCATCTTTGCATGTAATCTGTCTAACCTTATACATTTAGTTAAAACATTCCACCCACTCTAATAGTTTTCTTTAAAAAGTACACTTAAAGCTTCTAAGCTTAGACATGGACTATAATATACACTCTCTTTAGCCAGGGTGACTGGCATTTGGTAGTATAAAGATGGCACCAAAGGCTCCCAAGTATGAAGCAAGGCTTGGAGCCACCTGTTAAACAGCCTTGTGCATAGTTAACACATGTATCTATACTCAAAGACAGAGTCATGTTCAGTAATGTTGAAGCATATGGAGCATCCAGAAACTTGGAGTTTGGATGTAGCCATCCATTTCCTTCCAAATGGGAGAGGGACTCAGTTCAGAGAGCTTCCTCAAGAAGCCTTGCTTGCTGAAGTCAAGGACACTTTGAAAAAGGCACCCCAGACAAAAATCATGGCTATCACCATCCCTTGCCTTGTGAGATAAATTCTGCTCACTGCAAACAAGGTTGAACAGACCGAACTCCCACCAGACAGAACCTCACTGGATCTTGTAGTGGGGCTCACCGGAAAGAGGAGCAGGGAGGAGGAGAGATGCCTTAAACACACCTTTCCGTTTCAGGGGAGAAGACATGCTTGGGTACCAGCAGGAGCTAGGTCAACATTTATCTATTCTTTTGTGCATATGTGCATGTGTGTGCGTGTGTGTGCATGTGTACGTGTGTATGCTAGTATGCCTGGGGATGTGTGAACATGCATAGGCATTTGGAGGCCAGGGCAGACATTGGGCATCTTCCTGGATCTCTGTCCACTTTTATTTTTGAGGCAGGGTCTCTCATTGAGCCTGGCCATCACTTGGTTCTTAAGACTGGCTGGCCCGTGAACTCCTCCCCATGCACTAAAGATGGCTTTTACATGGTTGCTGGAATCTGAATTCAGGTCCTCATGCTTGCATAGCAGGTACTTTATTAACTAGCCATCTCCCCAGGACACTGTGTCTGTTCTTAAAGGGGCATTATGTAAAAACCCCAGGGAAGGTCGAATTTGTCAAAACATGGTGTTTGCTTCCTGCTGATTTTGAAACAAGACCTTGCTATGTAGCCCAGGCTAGGAGTCTAGTTCTCCTGCCTCTGCGAAGATTACAGGTGTGCACCACGTACCTGGCATGCTGGTTACTTTCTAGCAAGCAGGCTGTGCTCAGTAGAATGCTATAGTCACAGCAGAGTGAAAGGGTGTGAAAATGAAAAGGGACCCCCTAACTTCTCCAGTAAAGAATCAGACTTAAAAGGTTTGGAAAACTTTGTGGCGCATGCCCATCATGGGATGGTCTCCCCTGCCTCCCACAGTGAGGATCTTTGGAAGAGTCACACTGAGTGTCGTGAATCTACAGATGCCCACAAGGTGCTTGGGTGGGAGGTGCACTGGGAGCTCTGGCATCAGGAAGCTCCAGGTTTCTGTTCAGCTCTGTTGCTGACTTCCCAGGGAGTGTAGAGGAAGGCTCCCCACCCCGCCAGCTCTGGAAAGGCTTCCGCATCTTGAAAGGCAGAAATGCCAGAATGCATCCTCTCTAAAACCCTTCTTGGTCTAAAGTCTGGGACGGGAATTTTCTTCATCTAGAAAACCAAAAGTGGTTTTGTTGTTTGCTTTGTTGTTTTTTCAGCAAAGCAGAGCAGGAAAACACAGAATTTAGAGGAATTACTACCTTGTTTGTTAAAGCCATAGATGGCCCATGATATATCAAAGTAAGATCCCTGTGTCTGCCCCAGAGGTTCAGGGTGTTTGAGTCTGTTTAAGCACTGACGGGTTTCAAGCCAGCATCCAGTCAGAAGAGATGGTTCACAGACTCAGATAGTTGGAAACAGATTAAAAACAACAACAGATGTCAGCATAGAAAATGATAGTTTAGTTAAAAAAATGCACACATAAAATTACAGTCAAAAATTCACACATAAAACTTAGAGTGTTTGCATAGCAAGATGTTATTGCCCTGCAGCCAGGCAGAAAAACATAAACCCAGGTGCATGTTTTATAATAAACATTGTTTTGAATGCCGAGAACCATATACTGCTAAACGCCTCTTGCGATGATTTATCTCTCCATGAATCATACCAATCGCTTAGACAAATCAAATCCCCAGCCTTTTCTCTTCCATGCAAAACAATAAAAATAAGGAGTCTATGTCCATAGCAAGCACCTCATGGGAAAGGGTTTGTGAGGCCACAAGGATGAGCCACCCACTAGCTGGCTCTCCCAGTCACAAGTAGATCAGCTCTTCTGCTGAGAGCTTTTGCAGGGGAAGTATCTTGTCCAAACCACTTTCATCTGAAATCGATCATCACTAGCCAGAAAGCCTCTCCCAGCTGATGGGCTGCGGACCCCACCTCGGAACTGCTGATTCTTTCTGCCACCCTTCCCTCCCATTCAACTGATGCACCTGTCCACTCAATAGTGGTGAGTCATGACATGGTCTAGTGTCACTGGGTTTATTTTTTTCTTTTACTGGCTCTTGCGATAAGAGGAGCATTCCTAAACTTTATATGGAATGGTTCTCCCTCTTCAGAGACTCAGCTGACTGCTCTCCAATGTTTTGAGTCACCATTACCCTGGGTTTGCTCAAGTGGCTTGGACAGAACCTTTTCCTTCTCTTGCTGTCTGAATGACTTCAGAGTGGGCATATCTAGTCCTGCTTTACAACATGCAAAGGAGGGACAGGAAGGTACAGTGGAGAGAAAACACATATTTTTTCTTTGTGTTGGAAGAATTTTTCTAGCAATTTCTATAGCCACGCCCCTCTTGCTTTTGTAGCAGCAGTTCTGGGTCAGGGATTCTTAGTTTTTGTGTTGGAGGTCTGGGAGTCCTGGGTGGGTTTGCCAAGAGGAATTCTATAGACTATTCATGTCCTAGGAGCAAAAGTTTTCAACTCCGGTTACTTGGATGTGAGGCTCTAGCCGTGGCCTAATATGGACATCTTGCCTGCTCTACTCACCCCGTCGCTCCTCCCCACACAGACCATCAAAGACACATCATTTCTACTCCTCGCCCACTCCCTCTCCACCTGCCACATCCTTCCTAGTTTCTCCTGACCAATGAAAGGGACCCATCCATGTTCCTTTATTCATTCTTAAATCAATTCTTCAGTTGTGCCACATACCAATGACACCAAGGTTCATGGAGAATCTGCAGGCACCTAGTCAACATTCCGAAGAGCTCTGACCTCACTGCTAGGGGCCAGGGTCATTTTACACAGGGGCAGGTTGCTGCCTGGGGCATGTATGATATACATGTGCATTGCTGACACTCTCCACGAGACCGGCTCATCGGTTTTCTGCTGCCAGTCCAAAGCAGGCAGAGTTGCTGGGACTGGGAACTCCAAGTTCCCAGCAACCTTCCATCTCTAAACAACACGACAGAGCAGTGGCGACAGGCTGATGAGGACATGTGAAAGGCCATGAGCCCCTAACCCTAGCAGTGTCACTCAGAATCACCGTGGCCAGTGCTTTTCACAGCAACGGCAGACCCAGCTCCACCCCACATCTTTACAGAAGGCGAGATGGTGTAGAGAGTCTGACAATTATGGAAAAAAGTGTCTGTCTCTCTGTCCCTCCCTTCCTTTCTTTTCCTTCATAGTCCCAGCCCTACATTCTTAATGTAAAAATCATTCTGGGGAGAAGAGTTTTTTGTTTTGTTTTGTTTTGTTTTGTTTTTTAAAAAAGAAACCAAATAGAACAAATAGAAAACCCTTACAGGTTTAAACTCTCTAAAGTTCAACTTTATACATCAACTCTTGTTCTTTCACATTTCCCTTTTTGCATTACAAGTCTCTAGATTCAACTTAATTTGCCCCTCAAGGAAGAAGGAAGTATGGAGAACTTCCGGTGTTAAGTGCAGAGACTGCCAATCAGGGAGCCCTGCAGACTCCATCTGCCTGCACAGTATTACCACCGAAGGAAGAGGCATTGACTGTCCCTTGTTCCTGTGTATGCTCGGCCATCTTTCCTCTCCTCCAAGGACCACCCCAAGCATCAATGCTTCAGGTTACACAATACCTTACTTAACATTTATATGGAACAAATTTCTATTTCTGCTTCTTTGCCAGGGACATGCATAGTGGCAGTTTTATTTGAAGATTAAAAAAAAAAAAAAGCAAATACAACTGCAAATGTACATTGTAGAAAAGCAACAATCTATAAAAAGTAAAAAATAACATTTTCCCCACCCCAGGAATTAACTCCTGAAGTCCTGAGATTTGCTTTCTTCCACAGTGTTCATATCTCTGCTTGCAAGACCCCCGGGGATCCTTTGTCTTTTAACTCTTTCTTTTAACTCAGTCCTGAAACAAGTTTAAGATGAACTCATCTCTCTATCTGGCTGGAACTCCAGGCTTCCTTTTAAATCACGCTTGTGAAAAGTCCCAGTTCAGGACGACTCAAGTTTGATGGTGGACCTAAAGAACAGAAAGAGCCTCGGCTCATTACCCTGCCCAGGGGAAGCAGCAGCTATCAGAATGTTTAATTGGCTGGTGTGAAAAGTGTGTGTCTCTCAAGCCTCAGGTCTTGGGCGCCACTACGTTCACAGACGTTCACTAATCCATGAAGATACCCGAGGAAGTCCAGACAAGCCCAGAAGTTAATTAGAAGAGGGTAGAGTTCAATCAGAAGTGCCAAGCCTTCACATCTACAGGTGCCTAATTCTAGCTCTCCATGACTTCTGCTGGAGCTGTTCTTAAGCTAGCCTTCCGGTTCCCTGCATGAGCTACCACATGGGAGGAAAACAACGTGTAGTTACTGGAGAGGAGAGGGAAAAGGAAGTCAGAACCAAGAAGAGGGTTTTTTTTTTTCCTAATTCGTTCCCATCTTAGATCAGTTTACAGATGAAAGAACTTACATGAAACACAGACATTGCCTGCGAGATAATGTATGCTGCCAGAGAGCACTCTATGCTTGTAGAGGTAGACCATTGTGTGGCATCTTCGTAGGATAAGGCCTTATGCCCCGTGCAGGATTCAGATGGGTGGACTTCTTTGCCTGTTCAAAACAAACCCCAGATCCAAACCCAAAGCCCAAGGACTTCTCAACTGTAGCATTCTTTTCCTCCTTCCTTACGTCTTAACAACACGATCACATTGTAAACAGGGTGTTCTATCTTGTATTTGAGTTTTGCATTTTTCTTCCTAGGGAACTAGGAAGTTTCCATGAACATCAAGAGGACTCCATTTTCACGGCAGACATAAGAGTTCTTGCCTTTATAGTCTTGCTGGCGAATTGTTAAGGGGAAAAAAAAAAGTCTTATTTACAGTATCTCTGCTTTTCCGTACCAGTTCAGTTCTAACGTGAAGTTCACATTTGTAAATCCCCATTGGCGACTGCGTCCCTTCTCAGTGACTTCACTCAGAAGTGTCCAGCCAAGGCTTAAAATGTACACTATTTACAGACCAAGTTATCTGGACTCGCAGCCTTCTGATCGGCAGGGCCTTGTGAAGTGCCGTCACGGGCTGGGATTCAGAACTTGAACAGGTTGATGAAGTCTTGCGGGGAAAGTGAGATAGAGCAGCTCTCTGGGTTGTTGGCTGTGCACGGATGGTCAGTGCCCTGGAATGGAGAGCATTAGGGTTAGAGCTGAGTTCTCAGTGGCAGCTCCCTGGCTCTGCAGGGCACTGCCCGGTCCCTTAGGTGGTTCGGCGGTTAGGAGCATGCACCACCGCTCTTTGTAGAGGACCCAAGTACCGGTCTTGTCTCTGGGTCAAGCGGCTCACAACCACCCGTGACTTCAGCTCCAAGGTACCTGAGACCCTCTTCCAGCCTCTGCAGGCACTGCTCTCACATAAACATGTAATGCATGTTTACGATAGATAAAAAATACCACTAAATCTAAGGAAGAAAAGAATGTCACTGAATTCAGGGGGTGAGGAAAGAAGTGGATGAGTAGAGTGACTGGTATGTGACTATGAGGACCTGCGTTTGGATTCCCAGTACCCATCTAAAAGCTGGGGTATGGAGGCATGCATCTTGTAACCCTAGCACTGGGGGTGAGATAGAGACAGATAGGTCCCTGAAGTTCATTGGCTGGCTAGTCTAGCCAATCTGGTGAGCTCCAGGTTCAGTCTTAAAAAAAAAAAAAGGTAGGGATCTATTGAGGAAAAAGGAGACTGCGACCTCAGGCTTCTACATTCACGTGCTCATATGTGCACCTACACATACATGTGCATACGCAAACGCATCCACACATACTACCCCTCCCTACCCACCCCCAAAAGGAATTCCACAGCACGGAGAAGCTAATGAATTAGTGTTTGCCTGTGTATTCACATCTGCACACAAAGACAGACTATGTGGAGAATGGAGACAGATCGGCATAAGGGCAGAGGAAATGAAGGGACATGAGGTCTTCGAGTTTCTCTTCCCTGTCCAAGGGCTGGGTGAGTTTTATTCTCCCTTAGGTTGAGGGCTGAGAAAGGAAGGAACAGGGAAGGTCTGGCCTCTTGTTGCTGGCACCATAGGCTCTTAGGACCTGGGCTCAGGGGAAGCGGGGCTGGAGGCAGGAACTGAGGCAGAGGCCACGGAGGAGCACGGTTTAAAGGCCTGCTCCTCACAGCCTGCTCAGCCTGCTCTGTTATTGCAGCCCAGGAGTGGCCTGCTCACGGTCAGCTGGGTCCTTCTACGTCAATTATCAATTAAGGAAATGCCACGCAGACTTGCCCACAGGCCAATTTGGTGGGGACGTTTTCTACACTGAGGTTCCCCTTCTCTCTAGCTTGTGTCACGTGGACACGACACCAGCCCACAGGGACCCGTACCTTCCAGGAGAGAATGTGGCAGTGTTTGCAGAGCTGCAGGGTGTCTCCATACTGCTCTCGCCTGGGGTAACATCGTATCAGTTTAAAATACATCTTCTTCCAATCCAGCTGTCCCTTGTCAGACAAGATCAATCGCTTGCGGATCTGAAGATCAAACGGAGAAAAAGTCATTTCCGGAGAGCTCACCAGGATGATGTTTGGGGGTTTTCTGGTTCCGAAGATCTGCTCCCACTCTTTCCCCCATATTTTTATATGGACCCTATATCACCCAGGGGAGAAGAGTGTCACGATGGACCACAGCACTTTCTTAGCTCTCCACCCTTACTCAGCACCGTTTAACCGGCTTTCGGAAGAAAACGGGTAGCTGTATTTTCCTAGTGACTGCTTCTACGGTGCCGTTGACTGGTCCTTCAACACTTAGGCCTCACCCATAAGCCACTTCAATCTTTTCTTTGCTGTAGCCCTGAATGATTATTTCTAGGAAGACGCAGTGATGAGCACCAGGGCTCGGTTTTATTTTACGTTTCAGTGTCAGTGGCTCCGTGAAAAGAACCTGTTGAATTAATGTGATATTTTACTAAATTAGTTTACTAGTGAAGAGAGACCTGGCATGCCTGCATCCTAGGTCTTAAAGGTCCTCACGGCCACACCCCAGGGGCAGGTACCTCCAGGTCCTAGGCAGGTGTAACAGCTACCTGCTATCTCAACTAGGAGCGTTGCTTCAGGGCATGGCTCAACCACCCACCCACGACATCCATGCACATTGGAAGAAATTGGAAAAACCACCCTCAAGTGGTGTGATGAGGAACAGGTTTACAGGGCCTCTGCAGGGCCAATTCAAATGTAAGGCCAGCTGTCACACCCCCAAGAGTCATTTCACTAATTTGAATACACCGGTTGGTCGCTGGTGGTGGCCTTAGCCTCTTCACCTGTTTGGTGTGGACATGACAACATCTACCCTTCCTGGGTTGGGAGGCTAAAAGGAAATAATGTTCATAATAGTGCTTGACTATAAAGCACCAGAAAAATGACTTTTTATTTATTTATTTATTGTAAGAAAAGAGGCAATACCAATTTGTGAAATTTTGGGGTGAGCCATAAAATATAATTTGGGTCAAGGATTTATTTTTTTTCCCTTATCAAGACAATGTCGACAGTAACAAGGAACCAAAAAGCAAAAACACACACTGACTTAGGAACGCCTTACACCGGTGGTTCTCAACCTGTAGGTGGAGACCCTGTTGGGGGTCCAACTACCCTTTCACAGGGGTAACCTAAGATCATCAGAAAACATGGACATTTATATTGTGATTCATAACAGCAGCCAAACGACAGTTGGGAAGTAGCAAGGAAAAAAATTCTATGGTTGGGGGGGTCACTGCAACACGAGGAACCGTACTGAAGGGTCTCGGCGTTTAGGAAGGTTGAGAAACCCCTGCTTTAGACCGTTGCTTTCTAGTAAACCAGGGAGTCCTGGAGGCGGGCAGCCTCACTGCATGCTGGAGAAGGATGGGTCTCCTTAGAGTAAGGGCAGCTCAAGGAGCATGGGGGAGCAGGCCACTAGGCCTCACTGACCTGCCGCTCGGAAAAGTGGTACTGGCAGAGTCTCTTCCACAGCAGCCGGTCCTCACTGAGCACGTGCAGGTCTGGGGCCGCCTGGCCCAGGCTGACCAGGTCCCGTCCATCGCTCAGCCTCTGCATGATGTTCAGTTGCAAGCACACAGGCAGGTCGGTGAACGTGAGGCCTTTGAAGGCAGGCTGCAGAGAGAAGGCCGGATGATAAGCTGGGCGTTAAGAGAGAAGAGCCATTTTTCCAGAATGCCACTGGCCCCTCCCTGGTCCTCTAAGCTCAAGCTGGCTTATCAACAGCTAGAGTGTCAAAGCAGCGATGCTCCCTGTCTTATAAGCAGAAGTAGGACCCATGGCAGAGCTTCTAGAGGACAGCCTGGAGTGTCTTGGCTGACTGCAACCTGCAGGCCTTCCCTGTTTGCAAGCTTCTGATCTAAAAAACTCTGTTTTATTTTCTCTCTCTCTCTCTCTCTCTCTCTCTCTCTCTCTCTCTCTCTCTCTCTTCCCTTCTCTCTCTCACTCACTCACTCACAGGATTTCTCTGTATAGCCTGGCTGTCCTGGAACTCACTCACTCTTTAGACTAAGCTATCCTGGAACTCAGTAGATCCATCTGCCTCTCCTCCCCAAGGGCTGGGATTAAAGGTGTTCACCACCATCATCCTGCTATATTTTTCTTTATTCTTGAGAATTTCATGTAACTATACAAAGAAATACGATACTATTTATCCCATTTCCCTCCTCTAACCTCCCTGTACCCAACAGGTCCCTTCCAACTTCATGTCCTTTTTTAAAAAAGATTTATTTTTATTGTATATGTATGATTGTTTGTCTACATGTATGTAAACACACCATGTCCATGCCGTGTGCCTGCAGAGGTCACAAGAGGGTGTTAAATCCCCTGGAACTAGAGTTATGGATGGTTATGAGCTGCCATATGGGTGTTAGGAACTAAACCCAGGTCCTCTGCAAGAGCAGCAAATGCTCTTAACCACTGAGCCATCTCTCTAGCCCCTCATGGTTTTTTGTTTGTTTGTTTTGACAACCCTCTCAGTCCAATTAATGCTGCCCATATGTGCGTGGGTGAGGCCATACACTGGAGCACGGGAACATATTGGATTTTTGTGTTTGTTAACTTCACTATTCAACTTCAAGACTCACTACTTTCCCTTTCCCAAAGTGCCACTGCCCTGATGGGTAGCCCAGGCAGACACCTGGCCTCCCATCTCACTGTCCTCTGTGATTCCAGATTGTTCCATTTCAGTGTACTCTCTGGCACCAAACCATTTTCTTGCCTTTCTATGCACAAAGCCCTCACCCACCTGGCCTTCTCTCAGACCCACTTCAAACCCATTTCTATTGGGCATGGTGGCACACACCTTTAATTCCAGCACTTGGGAGGTAGAGAGGAGGATATCTGTGTGTTCATGGCCAGCCTGGTCTACATAGCAAGTTCTAGGACAGTCAGGGCTACATAGAGAGAACCTGTCTGGAAAAAACAAAAACCAAATACCGAACAAAGAAAACAAAACAAAACTCAACCATGTCCTCTGATCACTTCTTTGGCTTATGTATTTCCCTTAGGTCTCGTTCACTGCACCTTCTTAGAACTCCTTCAAGCTCTTTCAGTGACTGTCTGCAACATGCACCCCCCTCCACCTGCTTTTCTGCATGTGGTGGTTTGAAAGAAAATGGCCCCCAAAGGGAGTGGCACTATGAGGTGTGGCCTGGTTGGAGGAAGTGTGCCACTGTGGGGGCTGGCTTTGAGGTCTTTTTCTCAAGTTTCCCTCAGTGTGACAGTCAGTCAACTTCCTGTTGCTGTGGTCACAGTGTCTCTTCACAGCAATAGTGACCCTAAGATACTGCACAACCCCCTTCCCTTAAGAAACACTGAATGCAACATTCCCTTCCGAACCTAAAGTCCTTGACAACAGGGAGCTTGCTTTGTTTCACTGCTGTGCCCTGGTGCCCAGAGTGTTTGGCACATCATAAGCACTCAGTAAATAGCAGTGCAATGTATTAAATCCAAATAGTTGAATAGAAAAAAAAAAGGATAACAAAAGACCCTGTGCTTGTGCATGTGCGTGTGTGCATGTGCGTGCGTGCGTGCATGCGTGCGCGTGTGTGTGGGGGTATGTGTGTTTACAGGACTATATGTATGTGTTTGTATGCATCTGTGTGGGTTTGTGTATGTTCCTGTTTGGGATTATACTTGTATGGGTTTGTGTCTATGTGTTGGTGTGTGTACGTTTGTGTTCACACTGGAAATGGTTGGCCCCAAACCCTCTGAGCTAAGCTCCCCTGTCACCGAAGCAGCTCTATGCCCACCAGGGAACATTTAATTTTTTAAAATTTTTATTTATTCTACAAATATGAATGTGTCGCCTGCAGGCATGTATGTGCATCACATGTGTGCTTGGTGCCCATGGAGATCAGAAGAAGGCATCGGATCCTCTGCAACTAGAGTCACAGATGGTTGTGAGCCACCATGTGGGTGGTGGGAACCGAACCCTGGTCTTCTGCAGGGCAACAGTGCTCTTCACTGCTGAGTGATCTCTCTAGTCCCTCCAGGGAATGCTTTAAAAGCTGCTCATTTACATGTAATATACACCTGCAATCAACTTTGGGCTTCTGAAGGAACTTCCACTATACCCCCAAGCCTTTTCTTATTTTAAAATGTGATGATCTCAAGATATCTCAGCTAGACCTACATCCTTGAAGGCAGGACCTAGCTGGGAGGCCTTGGAGACCAGTCCAGCACAAACAGCCCTTGTGGCGCTTACTGCGGACAGGTGCAGAACTTTGCAGGGGAAAAATAAGACTCTTGGAATAGAGATTATTTTTCTCATCAGATTTCTGGGGGAGAACCTGCGGGAAGCACAGCAAAGCCCAAACACATGGGGGAACCCAGGGGCTACTTGGTCCCAGCCTCATTGGGATTCCAAGCATCACTCAGCCTCGGCCATCAACTGAGTCCCTGGTAGGCAAGACAGGCATTGGTGGGAAGATGGGGCCCAGAAGGAGGATTTAATGGGGACTGTTGAGAAGAATGGGCGTGGCATGGGAGGAACTCAATATGGGCAAACAGCAGATCCAAATGGCATCCTGGGAAGCCTGGGTCTCAGTTTCCCCAGCTCCTAAAGACTGTGTTTAGAATACCGAAGATCCTTCTAGCGCTAATGATCTTGGCCCTGCAGCGACTCAGGCCTTCTGTTTCATCAGACGTGTCTGTGAGTTGACAGTTTTTACTGCTCACTTCTACCCTGGGCTGTTGGGCTGAACTCCATTTGTTTACAACATTCAGGACTCGGTGTGACCGCAGAAAGCCCTATACCTATTTGTCATTTATCATCTGCTGTTGATCATATGAGCTAATAAAACTGCCATGGGATTTTCTTCTTGTTTCCAGCACTTCAAAGCCTCTGCTCTTTTTGGTTAAAACTCCCAGGCCAATTATTACATTAACTCCTATTAAAGGCAAGTCGGCTTGGCAGAGTTTGCCTTGTCAAATTTTCAAACCTGAACTTTTCCAAAACCCTTGCCCAGACCTCACGCCAAACCCCGACTCCTGATAAACGGTTAACCGCTTGCATGCCCTTCTTCCTTTCGAATATAAACATGTGAAAGGAAAAATATGTCACCCCTGCAGCAGCCTCAGGCAAGCATTTGGCTAAACTCCATTTGTGTCTACCCCAGCCCCCATTTTCCAAAACACTGCTTTGCCCACAGCACTATAATTAAATTTTATTTTTCTCCCTACAAACCAGTTCTCTTCAACTTTGTCCTTCATCCTTTATTATTATAGGAATTACATTTGCCAATAAAAATTGGCTTGGAAGAATTAGATATGAGGATTTCTAAGGCAAACAAGGTTATATGCTAGGACAACAGTGGCAAAAACGTGGGCTGACAGGGAAGTGCTTACAATGAAAGTCACTTTAATATTTTCAATGGATTAACATACCCTTCTTTCTGACAAATATAAAAATACCGTCCAGACTGAAGTAATTAGAGTATTCTTGTTCTCTCCCCGCCCCCCCTCTCCCCACCCCCAGGATAGCCCAGGCTGATTTCAGATTTTTTCTGTAGTTGAGCATGACCTTGAACTCCCCATTCTCCTGCCTCCATGTCCCAAGTGTGCTGAGATTACAGGCCTGAGTCACCAAGCACCATAAGAGTTGGGGCTCTGTGTGGGAAGCTCCTCTGTACAGCTCTCAGAACAATGTAATTCAGAGCCCCCTAGTGGGTCCAGGAGGGGACAGAGTGGAGAAAGGATCTGTACAGCCCTCTGTCAGCAGCCTGTTTTGGAGTCTGACGTCAGACCTCCTGGTATAGAGGCCCCAACACAGTTACACTCTGCCCTCCATGTTCTCCGTTTCTACATCCTTGAGTTCAGTAAACCACAGATGGGAAAATACTGAGAAAGAAATGCATCTGTACTGACTGCAGAGAGACTTTTTCTTGACCTCATGCCCCATGCACAGAGCATCCTGTAAGGTATTAAAATTGGGCTAGAGATGATTTGCAGTGCAGAGGGGGATCATGTAGGTGAAGCATAGACACTAGGCCACTGTATATAAGACAACTGACCATCTATGGCATCTAGGGGATCCTTGGGGTGTCTTTAAATCTACCCTCTGTGGATATTGAAGATGATTTTTCTCATTTATAAAACAAGGAAATGAGTATCTTGCAGTGTGCCTGGGTAGAAGAGATGAGATAATGCATGGAAGTACTTAGCACAGTGCCCAGTAAATTTCAGTCATTTGCCCTAATTACAATTAATTACTAGATACGTTAATTATCACATGGGAGGGACTTACAGTGTGTGTGCAGGCAAGCCCTTGATCGTAACACCTAATGCACCTATAATAACGCTGACTACATACCAGGCCCTGTTCCAGCTGCTGTCTGCAGACCAGTTTATGCAACCTCATGCCTATGTTAAATCTCACACGGGAATATGAGATGGGCATGTCTGCCTCTGTTTTCCAAATGAGGAAAGTGAAGCATGGGGAGACTGAATAACTGTCTGAATCTTGCAGTTGGTAACTTATCACTGTTATCCATAATGAAGGACACTGTTCTCCAATCATGTTCTCCGGACCCTGAACATGTCCTTCAGCAGGCAGGTTGGTGGGGAGCTGTCTCTTCAAATGAACATTCATCTCTTCAAGTAAGATCTACTGACCACTTGTGCAAGGTATAGAGGAGACGATGACAATGTCTTTTCCTCTGGAGATTATAGAGCAGTGGATGGAGACAGATGTGTTTGTGTCCAAGATCCTTTCAGCTAGTCAGAACCAATCTGAAGAAGACTGTGCAATAGGGGTTGTGAGAGATGGGATGAGGGGCTGGAGAGATGGCTCAGCAGGTGGTTAAGAGAGCACTGACTGCTCTTCCAGAGGACCTGGTTCAATTCCCAGCACCCACATAGCAGCTCACAACTGTCTGTAACTCCAGTTCCAGGGCATCAGATATCCTCACACAGATATACATACAGGCAAAATACCAATGCACATAAAAATAAATAAAAAATTTTTTTAAGAGAGATGGGATGAAGCAGGAAGACTGTGATCCACAAGGCCCTGAGGTAGTGTGTAGAGAAGTGTGGGGTTCTACGGGAGTACCTCAAGCAGATGTGAGAGGGAGATGAGCTTCGGGGTTGGATCTCTTCTGCAGAGGATTTCATTGGATTAAAAAGTTTGATCGACGGCTGGAGAGATGGCTCAGCGGTTAAAAAGAGCACTGGCTCCTCTTCCAGAGGACCTGAGTTCAATTCCCAGCAACCACATGGTGGCTCACAACCATCTACAATGAGATCTGTTGCCCCCTTCTGGCCTGCAGGCATACATGCAGACAGAACACTGTATACATAATAAATAAATAAATCTTAAAAAAAAGTTTGATTGATCAGTGGATAAATAATTGGAAAAAAACCAGATGGGAAAAAGTTTGGAAAACACTGATGTTAAGCATGCTTTGCCATTTTAGGGATCAGTAGTCCCAGCTTCTGACTTTAGCCTGATTGCTGTGTAGTGCTGGGAAGGACATGGACTCCTCCAGTGCCCCACTTCAATGCTATCCAATGAAGGCTAATAGCAATAACAATGGCTGCCTTTCAAGAGTGTCTGGTGGCTAACTAAGCAGGGTTTTAAGGAAGTAAGGTCACAGAAGTGCAAGGATTGGGAGATTGGGGTAGGAGACACACTCATTTGAGGTGGTCAGAGGGAACACAGCTCGGGGCAAGCATGACCATCTAAATGAATGCTCCAAATTTGCTAGAAGAAAGATGTCCTTGGAACAAATGAGCCTTGTTTGTTTCTATCACTGGCTGGGAATTTTCTCTGGGGAATAAGACAGGAAGTATTCAGTTCAGGCCATAGAGAATGCTGGAAATCAGGTAGCAGGTCTATGTGAGTTTTCTGTGAGAGAAGAACGGAATTCTGGTTCTAAATGTACATTTTTTAAAAGGATTTATTTATTTATTATGTATACAGAAGAGGGTGCCAGATCTCATTATAGATAGTTGTGAGCCACCATGTGGGTGCTGGGAATTGAACTCAGGACCTCTGGAAGAGCAGTCGGTGCTCTTAACCTCTAAGCAATCTCTCCAGCCCCTAAATGTACATTGTTAAGCTATGTCTCTACTTCAGAGATGAGACTGGATAAATTATTAAAACTATACTCTTCATAATAAATGCTTAGTTTTCTTAAAACCATCCAACAATGGGGATAATTTCTGAAAGATGACCTACATTTGGGCTCTGCTCAGCTCTCTGCATGCATGTGTTTGTAGGCATGTGCATGTGTTTGCAGGCACGTGCATGTGTGTGCATGTACATGAGTATGTGGGTGTGTACGGGGAATAGGGGTGGCGGGGTGGAGTTATAGCCTAAGTAACTTCAAGGACTCCATGTAACTAGAGGATTCTAATTATTCCTTCTGCTTCAGAATTTAAGAAACCAAGGTGCCGAAAAAAAAATCATTCACTGTAAAGAAAGAATGTGCTTTTTGGAAACGTCACAGAGCCAGGTAATTGTTTGGAGGAGTCACGGGGCTTTCTGCTTGTCACCTTCACCTGATACATGGTGCAGTTCCAAACGGTGTGGGTCCCGGAAGCCACTTAACCAGCCCAGTGTGTGATTAGATAAGTAGCCAAGTGTTGTGTGAGCTTCCTGAGTGTGCCTGTCTGTTAGTGAGCCCTGAGAGATTACGCCAGCAACATTCACACGGTTCCGTGTGTGCCTTCGTCTTCCCCCTCACCATTAAGAGGATGGGAGCCAACAGGGAGTGTTTATTCTGAAAGCCAAAAGAAATGTCTGATCTATGAAGCCATATGCTGGCTGGTAAGCTACAGGCTTTGGATGAGTCTTGCTTAGCATTTTCTGACACGCATGTTCAGGTGTGGTTCAAAGGTGTCCTTTGTCATCACTACCATTAAATGGGACTGAAATTCTAAAAGGCTGGTGGTACCAGTTCTCCAAGCCACTGTCTTCTGGGTTCTATTGTCCTGAAGGCAGCGTTCCCAATCCACAAACAGCTCATTCTTTTTGAGGAAATGAGCAGAGAGCACCCCCAGGCATCACTGAAGACTTCAGCAAACAGCCAGCATCCCTCCTCCAATAGCTATGTTCCTGTGGGTTTTTTTTTTTTTTTTTTTTTTTTGCATGAAGCTTCAGTTGGCTGTCACCTTTCACACACCTTCCCCCTGTTTTGCCAATTTCTTCTTCCCACTCCCCTTTTATCAGGATAAAGCCCCTCATACCACCTTCCACCCTCAAGCACAAGGATGAGACATCAAATCGGAAGCGACCAGCTCCTGAATCACCAAAGTGGACTTTATGCCGTGGAGTTCTGCTCAGTGTCTGAGTGGAGGAAACCACGGTGGGATGAGTGGGGCTTGCACTTACCCTCGTGATCTGGATGCTGCTCAGCTGTTGCTGCCAGTGTAGAATGGTCTCCATCCGATACACCCACATGTTAATGTTGCCCACCAGCACAGACTTGCCAACTCTCTGGACCAGTGTGCATAAGGATGTGTAGAGGGTCTGGAGAAGTTCCCTGATGAGTCTTATGTTTTGCTGGTCTTCAAGGACTTGAGAGGAAAGAAGGAAAATGAAATCAATGTCAGGGACACCATGCATGTTACAGGTGATGTTTTCTTCTTCACTGTCTGCCCCTATTACTGGGCACTGCCTCTCACTAGTGTTTTTTCTATACTCAGCTTTAGGGTTGAGTTTCCATTATCTAGGTCCCTCTTTGTTCTCTTCTCTTGGGTTTCTGAAGAGCTCCATTTCCTTTGCTGCACCAGTGCCAAGGGTCCTCCTGATCAGAAAGCGGCTTTTTTTTTTGTTCAGGCACCGACATATGTTTAGGTGGTCAGTGGAAGACTGCAGTTTTGGTGTTCAGAAGGTTGGGTTCTAACCCCGTCTGGCTAATCTCTTGACAATCATAGGCAGAGGATCATTTCTGCATGCATCAGTTCCCCTATGTGTGAAATGACTCGGTTGAGCCAGAGGTCTAAGGTCCTTGCTAGTTCAAAGAGTCTATGCCTCAATTCTGCCTTGCACACAGCTCCATTTCCTAGGAATAAAGAAGCTCCATGGTGAAGGCTGGGGTACATGTCCTCATGGAGAAGCCAGTCAATCTTAAAGCAAGGCAAACAGATGACCCTAAAGAGAGGACCAGAGGGCAGTGGTCTTGTTCTTTGCCAAGGGCTGAGCTGGAAGCTGGTACCCCTGGAATTCAGCTGACATTATTCATTCCCATCTACTCACATTACTTTCAATCTAGTGACATGCCACTTGATGAGAAAATCCACCTGCCTATTCCCATGCCTCTAAAAAGGGTTGAGAGAGGGTGGGGGAAGCTCACCTTTCAGTACTACTTTTTCCAAGATGTTCATGAAGTTCTTTTGGGCGATGCCACTCAGGGATGTGAGCTGTGACTTTGCTATCAGTTCCAACAGCTGTGGATAAAAATAGAAGTTGCCAGGCTTAGAATACAGGGATATTTTTCTCCTCTAATCTTCTCTTTTGAGTCACATGACGTGCAGATACAGACTGACGGGAGAGGGAGCGAGAGATAAATGGCAGGCAAGGCCACCAGGCAATAAAAAGCAGATGCTCCAAGTGAAAGACAAATGGTGGTAATTCAAAACTAGGAGTCAGCCTGAATATTTAACTGCTTTTTTTCTTTTATATATAAAGGCTTTGGGCTTCCGCCAGGGCTAATCCATTCTATTTGGTCCTCTTTGGAAAGGAGAGCTGACAGTATTCCGGAGGGAACAGAACCTCTCATGACCTGTGAGCACAGGAGCTTTGCACAGTCACCCCCAGGGGGAACTGTTCCTGCCCCGACTTGAACTTTCGCCCACTGGCACCCACAGCTCTCAGGGCACCGCGAAGCTCGTGTTTGGTGACCATGTGCTTGTCCCAAGGAAGGGATGATTCTCTTTTAGATACTGTTTGCTTTTTCATGTTCAATAAACCTGCCTGATCAGACTCCTTTGCTGCATTTACTTTTTTTTTTTTAAATAGAAAGATGGGTGTACAGTGTGTCTATCTATTTCTTCCTGGAGGCTCAAAGGAGAACCCTTGTATCTGTTAGCTTTGATGGAGTCTGATTTAAAATTTTATTTTATATATTAGAGTGTTTTGCCTAAATGTGTGTAAGTGTACCATGTGTGTGCCTGGTGCCTCTGGAGGCCGGAAGAGGACATCAGAACCCCTGGAACTAGAGTTACAGTGAGTTCCAGAACAGCCAGGGCTACACAGAAAAATCCTGTCTTGAAAAACTAAACCGAGCCAGGCGGTGGTGGCGCACGCCTTTAATCCCAGCACTCGGGAGGCAGAGGCAGGCGGATCTCTGTGAGTTCGAGGCCAACCTGGGCTACAGAGTGAGTCCAGGAAAGGCACAAAGCTACACAGAGAAACCCTGTCTTAAAAAAACCAAAAAAAAAAAAAAAAAAAAAAAAAAAAAAAAAAAAAAAAAAAAAGAAAAAAAGAAAAGAAAAGAAAAAGAAAGAAAATAGAAAAACCAAACCAAACAAACCCCCCAAAGATTCTATTGTTGAAAATTAAAATGGCAAGGGGTCTTGGAGGTCACCTAGTTCAACCCACTTCTCAGATGAATCAGGTGAGGCTCAAGAGTATCACCAGGGCCAGGGAGATGGCTTAACAGGTAAAGACACTTGCTGTCAAGCCTGATGGCCTGAACTTGACCTCCAAGGCACACGACAGAAGGAGAGAAGTGTACGTTGTTCTCTGACCACCATACATGTGCCCATACACAGGCGTGCACATGTGTGTGCACACACGCAATGAATAAATGGAATAAAAAGTTTAACAATAACTTTAAGAGCTATCTCACAACCCATGAGAGGACTCGGCTGTATTTTCTCCACTTAGGAAAGTGAAAGAACACACTGTATGTTTCAAAGAATCACCACACCGAAGGTTGCTATAAAGTCAAAACAACTCATTTCATCAGAAACAGGACAAATAAAGTCCCCGAGAAACACAACACAGACTCAGGCTGAGTAAAGTGGCCTTAGAAAACCAAGACCCCAATATGGGAGAGACACAAGAGAGGTAACAGAGGTGAATGTGATCAAAACACATCATTTACATATATGAGAATATCATAATTAATTATTATGTGTAATTAATATAGGCTAATTCTAAGAAGCAAAAGAAAGAAAAAAAAAGAAGAGAAAACTAAGACCCCCTCACTTTGTGGACTCCTCTGCCCCTCGAAAAACTTTCTCAATGGAACCTTGACTGTCTCCCATCACAAAATTAAACAGGCTCTCTTTTGAGCTGAAACAAAATTTTCAGTCTGTTTTTCCCCTTTTTTCTTTTTTGGCAGGGTCTCACATAGTCCAGGCTAGCTTCAAACTTACTACCTAGCTAAGGATTACCTTGAACTTCTGATCCTCCATATTCTACCTGGGGTTACTGGTGCATCCCGCCATGCTTGGTTTATGAGATGCTGGGAATTGAACTCTGGCCTTCGTGCATGCCAAGCAACCATCTACCAACCGAGCTCCATCTCAGCCCTAGGAAGCTTTCTGAGAGCATTTCATCAGCCCAGGCCCCCACCCCGATTTCATCAATGGACTCCGATGCTATATTGGATGCTGGAATCAAGGCAGAGGGAAGAAACAAAGTAAAACCCAAACATCTGCACTGCAAAAACAGAAACAATATGAGAACACAAGAAATGAAAATAAAAGCTGGAATGCAGAGGAGGATGAACTTTGGACCCACATCCTAGGTGGTTCAGGGTACCTCCGTGTCCCAGGTACACAGTTAAACATTTTGACCCCTTTGGGACCCTGTCAAACCACATATAGAACTAGTTTCTCGAACATAATTTTACTTTAAATTGGGGGAAAAAAGTTTTAAACCTCAAATGTCGTCCTGCTGGGTTTGGTATCTTTGATGCGTGCAGGGGGCGGTGTGGCCTCCTGACCAGGAGGAGGAGGAGGAGGAGGAGGAGGAGGAAGAGGAGGAAGAGGAGGAAGAGGAGGAAGAGGAGGAGGAGATGCTGCTGCTGTGTTGTGCTTAGTGCTAGAGACCTAAACTTGGAAGTCAGGGGCTGACAAGAGTGGCACTCACAGTCAAGGCATCAAAACACACCCGGGTGGACGCTCTGTCCATCCACAGTGACCACAGCCCTCTGTGCCCGTCTGGTTTAGTTCAGCCACCAATCAGCACGTGACAGTGGAAAGAGGAACACAAACCTTTCATTTTCCCCCCTCCTCGAGCAGCAGGCTGTAGAAAGCCAGGCTGGGGTTTATTAATACCCAGAGCCTCACATGACCAGCATACAGCAAAGATGAAAGAAAACACAAGCTTGGAGCCTGGAGCCTGCTCCTGCAGGGCAGGCGGCTGAGCACTGTGACTCAGCTTTGGGTAGGAGGTGAGGCAGGGGGCAGCCTGCGATCAGCCAGAAGTGCATCCAAAACGTGGGTGCCATGTGACCACCAGCTCCCAAGAGCATCAGTATTAACCTAATCTAAAAAGGCACCCATCACAAGGATAAATAAATAAATAAATAAATAAATAAACAAACAAACCCCTCTGCAGCAGGCTCTGACTGTGTATCCAAGACACCTCTGCAGACTGTACATTTAGGGGAAGCAGAAAGCTCTTTGGGCTGGCTGATATCATCTTCCTTAACCGAGGAGAGAGAGGGACAGAGGAGCAAACCCTGTCAACGGACAATAGGGTGACATGTCGACTCTTCTCTCACCCTAACTGCAGAGAAAGTCCCTGCTGTCATTACTAGGCAGCTGTGGAGCCCTGGAACAGGAGAAGCAGGTTCTCTGTCGGGGTGACCTTTCCAACTGTCATTCGTGTAGCAAGAATCCCTGTGTGTGTCCACTCTGTCCTAGTGCTGAGGCAGATGACAGGGAATGACGACAAAACCCACGCTTCCCCAGACGCATGGAGTTTATCGTTTAGTCATCCAGCCTGCTTCTGTATTCTTAAGGCCAATAAAAAGACTACCTCCGGGAAACACAAAACAAAACAACAACAAGAGACTCCCTACAAGATTGTTAGGAGAATCAAGTGAGATAAAAACAAAAACTTACTCTGAGTACCAAACATAAAGTGTTATTGCCACTAACAAAATTATTCTTCTCCCCAATTCCAGTCTCTTAAGGAAGTTTAAGGTTGACAGCTGGAGGAGCAAACTTTTGTAAAGGGCCAAATAGTAACTGATTTTTCTTTCTTTCTTTCTTTCTTTCTTTCTTTCTTTCTTTCTTTCTTTCTTTCCTTCTCTCTCTCTCTTTCTCTCTCTCTCTTTCTCTCTCTCTTTCTTTTCTCTCTTTCTTTCTCTCTCTCTTTCTTTACTTTTGGATTTTTAGACAGAGTTTCTCTGTGTAACAGCCCTGGCTGGCCTTGAACTCACAGCAATCTACGTGCTTCTGCCTCCTGAATGCTGGGATTAAAGTCGTGCACCCTCACACCCAGGCCCCAAACAGTAACTGTTTTAAGGTTGGGGGGTCATTCAGTCTTTACACTAAAAATGTCCTGCAACTGTAACACAAAAGCAACCACAGACAATATGTAAATCAATGTGCACCATGTGTGTATCAATAAAACTTTATTTATAAAAACCAGTGGCAAGCCAGACATAATTCTGGGTTTACTTCTGGTACCATCACAGAGATTATAAATGAAGGTCCCAGAGTCAAATTGTTTTGTATAATGACAGCAGCTACTTTAGAATTGTTGTGAAGATCAAATAGTTCACCAAGCACTCACCATGTGCCAGGAGAATATACTTAGTAGCTTATTATCACCAGCTTTTCATCATAACACAGAAAAGACAGCTAGCTAAAAATTATTGCCAGGCAGAAAATAGTGAACTACTAAGGCAAAGTATAGCTCATTTAAAGACTCTGTGTTTCAACTGCACGCACCGTAACTAAATGCTTTCAGATTTCAATATTCCACTGCATCTTTATTATTTGTGATGCATTTAACAGCTCTCTACTGATACAGTTCATGACTTGCAGAGGTGCTCCTACCATGAAGTCATATTTTGCTGACAACAATGGATAGTTACTGTGTGCAGAGATGGTGCGACACAGTTCACCTGTATGGTCTCAGTTTTCAAGGACAAAGAGGTTAAGTTCCCAATTTGACAAGCGAGGACACTAAGGCTCAGAGCTGTCAAGTACCAACAGTAAATTGGGGAGCCAACACTTGAGTCCAGATATGTCTAACAGAAAATACGTATTTCTGTAGCATTCAGGACTCCCACTGTGAAGGATAATCAATAATTTGGCATGTAGGGCCAAACTGTATTCTAACAATTGTAGCAATATCATGACTTGTTATTGTCTGGGGAAAGAATCTGGAAATTTTATATCAACAGTGTGCTTTGATTGGTGACCAGCTTCCATGCCGAGGTGAAATAATGCCCAGAAGATATTCTAACATATTTAGAAAA